CAGCGGGATCGCGTGGGTTTATATTCCAGAAGCCTTCACAGCTAGAGGGATGTGCTGCGTGCTGGATTATCCTTTTTTGGATGCATAATTGCTGAGCGTCAGGATGCAGAGAGAAGTGGGGGGGCGAGGTCTCTGTCCCGTGAGCCGGATTTAACGGGCTGAACGCTTGTTTTGTTCGTTGGAGTTACTTGACTGAGCTGATGGTGAAGTGTTGCCATATGACTTGAGAATCAATTTTCTTGTTTCCATCTAAACCAGCCCTCGGTTTGAACTGCCAATGGGAACCACAGAGCAACCACCACTGCCTCAACCGACACAAACACAGCAAAAGGTACACAGTTCCCCTGCCTCCCCTCCATGCCCACCCTCGAAGCATTTCCCACAGTGCTTTAAAAGAGGGTATTTTGTCCTGGGGTCAAAACTGGACGCTGGGCTCTTGGATCTGGCTCACTGGAAAGTCTTGGAGAAATACTCACTGAATGAGAGAAAACCTTTCCTGTTTTACAACAGGGTGTGATATTCTTTTGTAACTAAGAACTTGGAGACAAATCCTAATAAGCCACAAAGCACTGTCCGTTCTCCCAGCCCTCTCATGTCCCCCATCTGATCACAGTGGCCTGCTGCTGCCTTCGTCCTGGGACCGTGGTGTTTTGCTTTGTTCTGTTTCTCCCCTCACCTTGGTGAACCTCCGTGGTTAGCACTGTCCTCCAGCTCGGGGGCCAGCAGGGGCAGTTCTGTTGCTTGGGGCACTGCCTCGAGGGGAGGGTGCTCTGCGAGAATTGAGCAGTGAGCAACCCTGAGTGCCGTTGTAGTGATGAAAACCCTAGGATTGCTCCAACTTTACACGGAGATGTAGTCACAGAACGCTCCCACGTGACATAGAAGCGCGTCATATGTGACTGTGCAGCAATCTGCCAGTTTTTGTCATCTGTGTGACATCTCTCAATGCTGGCAATGATATTTTAGCAGCCTAAACCTACTCTCTAAATCCGCTTTCGAGAGAAAAGTGGGATCTCTGGGCTTCGTAAGCCTCGGTGCTTGATTTCTTCTCTCTGATGCTCCAGCTGGCAGAGCACCCACACACAGATTTGGAGGAAAAATTGATCATTTGATAGATGGGGTGCTCTTTTCCCTTCTTAACAAAAGAACAACCATAAAAGTCTTTATCCTCGATGCACTTAACGAGGCAGAATTCTTCTCCTAACCAACAGAGGACACCCCAAGTCATTGGAGTCATGCAGTCTCAAAATAACAACACTGGGAACAGAGGACCCCGGCCGTTGGAGCAGGTCACCTGCTACAAGGTAATTCGGAGGGAAGGGGCGAGGAGGGAAGGCGGAGGGTGCTAGGCTGGAGTCCAGAGAGCCCGTCCCCTGGACTGCCTCACGCTGCCTTGCTGCTGCGTGCTTGTCCCCGGGGAAGGAACGGACTGTTGGGATGAGGGGCGTTGGTCCTGAAAAAGGGGGTTTTCGCAGTGAAATGCTCCATAGCCGCTGCGCTGCGGGGGGGTGGGTGCAGCTGTGGGAGTTGGCCTTGGGTCCTGAGGCCTCTGGGTCGCGGGTTTGCCGGCTCACGGACTCGCTGTGACAGTTAAGGCCGCTGTAGGGGCTGACTTTGCTCGTCGGCTGATCAACAGGGCTCTCTACCACGGTGGCAGCTAAAGGAGAGTGTGCCCTCCAAAACAAGAGTTAATATTAGTTCTGTCTCGTGAGTTCATTTGCTTACACTTCCTTGTAGAAAGATTTTTCTTCTCCGCTGTTAGCCCGGAAGGTCCTTGCCAGTATCAGACATTGAATCTGCAAAGACTGTTCAGTATTTCAGCTGCAAACGCACCCCATTGCTGTCAAACCAAGGGAGGAGCCATTCACTTCGGCTGCTCATTGAGGAGCACCAGTAAAACTTTGACCCAACTGAGTTTCCATCTGTTTATTTTTCCACAAAAGCCCCTGGAAAAGGGCAAAGACTCCTCCTGTCCCATCAGCTTTGAGAGTTAACATCGTTGTTCATGCCAACTGCTGTGCCTTAGGTGCTTGTTTGGGTGAAAATTGGATTGGACAGGGATGTTAAGCAGCTGAACTCGTTTCACTGAAAACCTTTAAGAGCTGCTGATTGTTTTACCTGCGAGTAAATCGCGTATCTGGAGTCTGTCGCACCAGATAGTGGCATTTCTCTCTGGGCTGGAACAGCTTCAAGGTGCAAAGTCATGACTCTCTTGTCCGGATGCCCTTTTCTCTGTCTGACTGAGGACAGCTGACCAGGAGAGTCCCTGCAGATCTCCGAGGCAGCGTGTAGCAGATGCGCTTATCCTGGAAGCCTCAACCGTTGAAATTCTCCTTGTGTTTTGGCCCTTTGCTGTTGGCAGTGGCACGCCGAGAGCTCCCTCCTTGGTAGGGCATTACAGTAACAGGGTGTGAGGTTGCTCCCAGCACAGGAGCAGCTTGTGCTCCAGGGAGTGGAAGCACCCCAGAAATTGTGTCCCTTGTGACACCGTGTTCACCTGCGAAATGCTGCGCCTTCCATACACAGATAAAGCTTCCGAATTGGAACCGTTAATGAAGGCAGCTAGAGGAGAAAAAAAAAAGATGTAACTGTGTAATAATTCCTCTCTTTCTCTTTCAGTGTGGTGAAAAAGGTCATTATGCCAACAGATGCACCAAAGGACATCTGGCCTTTCTCAGTGGACAGTGAAAGAGCAGAACGAAGAGTGCGAGGGAGCTGTTAACACTGAGGAAAGGTTTCTGCTTGGCACTATGTCTTGAACTATTAATCAGGTTGTTTTTTAATGCCATTACTGAAAGAACTGGTCAGAGGCTGGCTGCTGCTAAGCAACATTTTTGTAATTGTCCACAACTTTTTTTTATGTTTTAACCTTTTTAAAATAGATTTTGGCCTCCGTCTATTTTCATTGAGCCCTGCTGAAAGGTAGATCTAAAAGCCAATAGATATGCAACCCCCTCACCGGTGCAGCACTCCACCTAAATGCGTCCTAACACCAGTGTTTCTTTAAAGTGTTTTCCTTCTGCCACTTCTCTTTGGAGAACCTGCAGCGTTTCAGCCCTCCCTGTGGAAGCAGGAAGACTGGGAAAACTGATACTTGAAATGCCTTCCCTTCAGTGAGGAAGCAGGGATTCTGCTGTCCTGTAGCTCTTAAAAAGCAAAGTCACGTTCCCAGGTCCAGCCTGGTGTAGTCGGTAAGCTTGTCCTGGTGGTTGACGTAAACGCATCACGTACATCAGGCTGTAAAACTCTCGTCCACTTGCTTTGTTTCTGTGCTTCTTGCTTTACTGAAGGTTAGAGATTAATCTTCTGGGTGAGAACCGATCAAGGGGAGAATCAATTGGCATCTCTGAGGGACAGGGATGGTAGGAAAGCCGCGCCTGTGCTCATTTTCCCTGTGCAAAACGCAAGGAGGGAAAGGAACACGGCTCCAAGAGTAGGAGGAGAAGAGCCTTGTCTCAGCCCCCCCCATCCAGCTCACACTGAGCAGGTATTTCCATAGCCTAGAGAAGAGCCAGAAGTGGAGATGTGTATTCGCATGGAGCACTGCTTTTAAAAGTGGTAGGGTATTCTTCCGAGAGCAGTTTTTTGCAAGCCCAAACCCCTTCGTTTTGGTGAAAAGACTATTTCAAAAGGGCCAATGATCAAATGTGAATTAAAAACAAAACAAAACAAAAAAAATTGCACCTACAATTTGAGCCTTATTGATTCTAACCCATCTCTCGTTTGCTGACTGCCTTTATACTTTGTTTTTATGGAAATGTACTGATGGAAAAAAGCTGGCTGTGAATTTATTATTTTTTTTTTAAGAACGAGGTGATATGACTAGATTAAGAGAACGATGGGAGCCTGCGTTGGTTTGAGTGACTCGTTATTTCACTGTGGGGAGGCGGAGTCGGTCCCAAGAGAAGTTGTGAGCAACTGGTGTGACTGACCATCAGCCGCTTCTCCTGACACCTTGTGCCCCCCAGAG